GTTATGTAAAGATACTGAGAGATTGCTGTAAGAAGGAATGTTTGCTAAGATGAAGCTTGTGTTGGTAAGACCATTTAATTGTCTACTGGAATGTCAACTGGCTTGTTTCACTGAAAGTCACCAGCCTATATTGTTAAACTATAACCCCACCTATGTTCTCTTCCTGTAACTTCCTGGTTTGGAAAATAAATGCAGGAAGAGAACCCCAATTTGGGGTTAATTTCCCGAGGAGGGGATCCCTCTTGCTGGAGGGTCCCAGGGAAGTTAACCACTTCAGGGCTTCTCACTGCTCAGAAGAGATGGGCTTTGTGTAATTCTTTGCGTCTCCGTCACCAAGGGGAAGTGGTGTGAAAAATCCGTGGGGGATGAAGCAACACAAAGCAACACTATACCTGTTAAACACTAACTTCCCATTTCCCCTTTTGCCCAGCCCCCAGCAACCACCATGCTACTTTCTATGAAATTTACCACTCTAGGTACCTTATATAAGTGGAATCGTACAGTATTTGTCCTTTTGTGACTGATTTCACTCAACATAACGTCCTCAAAGTTCACCCATGTTGTAGCATGTGTCAGACTTCCCTTTTAAGGCCAAATAATATTCCACTGTATGTACAGACCACATTTTATCTGTTCATCTGTTGATGAATGCTTGGGTGGCTTTCACTTTTTGGCTATTGTGAATAATGCTGCTATGAACATAGGTATATACAGGTGTTTGTCAGAATCCCTGCTTTCATTTCTTTTGGGTATATAAGCAGAAGTGTACTTTCTGGGTCATATGCTAATTCTATTTTTTATTTTTTAAGGAAGCACCACTCTATTTTCCACAGGGACTGCACCATTTTACATTCCCACCAGCAATTCAAAGGGGTTCCAATTTCTCCACATCCTTGTCAACACTTGTTATCTTCTGTTTGGTTTTGGGGGATTTTTTTTAGTAGTAGTCATCCTAATGGATGTGAGGTGGTATCTCACTGTGGTTTTGATTTGCTTTTCCCTAATGATTAGAGATGTTGAGCATCTTCACGTGTGTTTATCAGCCCCCATCATTAATGTCTATTCAAATCCTTTGCCCTTTATTTAATCATTGTTGTTGTCATTGCTGTTTTTAAGCAATGTGCCCAGTAACAAATTTGATTTTGGTAAGGACTGCTAAGAAAGTTCCTGGAGAAAAAGGTGCTAAGTAGAAAACACCACAAAGAGCATGAAGTGGCCCACCACAAGGCATGGGTAGGTTTTGGGCTGTTATTGTTTAGCAGTGTTGTATTTTATCTGATCGGGGATGAATCCTGTACAGTTACTTCTTTCCCAACCACCCTCCACCTGCCCTAAGGCAGTAAGATTGGGGGGGGGGCATTCTCTCTATGGAGACACGCAGGGCAGCCTCTGTTCGAAGGGACTGCAGGGAAATTCTGTCTTCTGGAAAGAGGTAAGTTAATACCGGGAGGTGGAAGGAAAGCTCTGTGCAAAGCTCTGTGCAGAGATGAGGCAGCAGGTGCTCCCATGGACTGGGTGTCCTGAATGCTGGAGAAAGGACTGGACAAAGCAGGGGACTGAGACGATGAGTCTTAGGGGAACACAGCACGCTTGGGGTGAGAGACACACAAAGAGAAAAGTGGCCTGATGAAGGGGAAGGTCTAAGCCTAAACTGAAATATAATCTCAAGACGCAAAGGCTGACACAAGGTGCTTTAAGTCTATGTTCAGAGCATGAAGAACAACAGAAAGATTTCTACTAGGGAACAGTTCAATATTATGTTAAAATATGACTGTGGCTACAGCTAGGCGGGGATGCCTCTGGCAAGTTAATAATCTGGGACTTTAAAAAAAGCTACAGTTTAAAAATATTTGTTTAATATTTAGAAGTATCACTGGGTGCTGGGACGAGGCCAGGGGAGGCCAACAAACACGTACCATGTGCTTTGCCAGACAAGCTCAGCAGTGATACCAGATTTGCAGTAAGAGGCAATTCCTGCACCGTCTGTCATTACACAAGCATGTCCCTGAGGACATCTCTTCTCTCTTCCCTCATCCCCGGTCCCTTATCAATATATTGTTTCCAACCACACACCGAGACTTTTTCTAAGAGTAATTCTGGTAAATATAATTTTTTCCATCTCTTTACATTTCAATAATGTCTTGGCCACCCTCTGACCTGGGACCCTGGACAGCTGCCCAGCTGGTCCCTCTCTAAGCCTGTGGCTTTTGTGACAAAGACAAGGAAATTCTCAGCTGAATGTTTGTTTCACTGTCTTCTCTCAAGAGAAATGATTCCCAGAGTTCAGGGATAGAATAAAAACCAAAAGCTTTAAAAAAATATTCATAAGCTTTAAAAAAATATTCATAAGCTTTAAAGGAATTTACCTTAGGGATAATTATGGAAGTGTGTACAGATTTAGTTACAAGGACACTCATGGCAAAGTTATTATATCAAAAATTGGGAAAAAATCAAAATGTCACCAAACAGATCATTGGGTAAATTATATTTTATAAAATGGAATGTTGTGAAGCCAATAAAATATTTTAAAT